CTGAGAAGATTATGCTGTAATGTAGGGGCGTGTTCCGCATCCGAGGCTGGCGCGTCACGTACCTAAGGTTACAGAGCTGCTTGCTATTAGTTACGTATTGGTTACTATCGCTGCTGTGCCCTACTGTACTGACGCAAAATGTAATAAAGCTTATTGACCATGGCAGACAGCCATGCCAGTTTGGCTTCAATTTTGTGAAATTATATGTTTTATAAACTAAAAGCTATAGACTGAAACCTGTGAACTGATAATAAATGGGGTTAGCCGCAGCAAAACTGCAAACTGGCTTATTATTACTTCTTCAATCAATTAAACTTTTATCAACTGCACTGCCACTGCCATGTATAAAATGTTAGTAATTTGTCATTAAAAATCTGTTAAGCTAATTTCGATTCTGAATAGCTATAAGTATAAAACAGAACTGAATGAATAAACACGAACATTGCTATTGGATGGTAACCATGTACATCACGGTTAGCTAGACAACTTGATGTTGAACAATCGTATCCATGTAGCATGTGATACAAACAGTTCTAGGCATCAATGATTTACTACACCTACAACTTTCTGTCAGCTTTGACAGAAAACCGTCGGTACATAAAGGGCTGGCATGCGCTAAGTACTCAGGAGTGGCAGTGCTTATGCAGCTCTCAATAATGGTGTTGGGCTCCCTGTCCTGTCCTCTCTTTCCTGCGGCTGGCTTGCTCACTGTTCCTCAGTTCCTGTCCTGTCCTGGCTCTCTCCTGTCGTGGTTCTTTATCTGCTGTCCTGGAGCCTCCTTTCTCGTCAGTGAGTCTCCTCTCCTGTCCCGGGTCTGCTTGTCCTATAACAACAGGGTGAAAGACAGACAATCTAAACGCACTCACCCTCTAGAGAGCTTTATATTACATAATTTTAAATGTACCGTTATTATACTCGGTATGAAGACGCATCGCTGTATTAAGCTCGCGCACGCGCCATATTTTGGCCTTGAAAAGGTTGTATACAAACTTTTATAATCAAAATTAAGTAAAACAATTGAGCAGTTCAATACTGAGATATCATAGCAGTCAGCAAACTTGATTCACAGTGAAGTCACACTTATATTACCTCAAGTCATTGTCCTCTGAGTAAAGAGCAGATTATCCCTGATCTAGATCAATTAAATTAATTAATAATAAATTGTGAGTCAGTCGCGCAAGGTCAAAGACGCCAGACTAGAATAACTTGTCAGAGCTTAGTTTTCATACAATTTGAAAAGTGTGGTAATTTATTCAAGGCCGGCTGTGCCTATAATGCAACATAATGCGCTCGCGTGGGCAGCAATTTATAATATGGCGGGCTGGTCGCGATTAATTAATGGTGACATTTCTGTGCACAATTCTTAGCCTCGTTAAAGTAGCACCCTTATTTTTTATTGAAGGTGTGTACAAGAAATTGTATCTTATACACGAGTAAATACGGTTGGTAAGTGATCTTATATAGTATATATATATTATATATATATATTTATATAATAATATATATATATATATCTTATATCAGGAGGTTAATAAAGACAAAGGAGTTTGACATTATTGTATCTGTAGGTATTTGGTACTGATTTCACTACATTTTGTCGTTATTAACTCCTGATATATATGGAAGTGGATGAATCCACAAAATTGAGGAAAATGTAGAAAAACCCGTGATGTACATGAAAGTCAATGCCAAAGCTCTTGAAATCCTAGGATCACAAAAGGAATTACTCACTGTAGCGTAGAGCTAGTATGGAAAATTAGCATGCACGATGTTTGAATTACCAAAGAGTTAGCATGCTCCAATCCCAGCTTCATGACCTAGCACATTGGCACCAATTATTCCTCTTCTTTCTCTCTGATATGCCTGCAATGACATTGCATGAAACACATACAGAGTGAACGGATAACAAATAATCTAGCTTGCACCAGTACTTCTACCATTGATTACCCACCAGCTATAATAATTATTACAATTTAATCTTGATTAAAATGATAAATCAGTCTACAATTACAGAATACATATTTCTACAATTCAATATTCATTTCTAAAATAAATTGGTTTTAAATATTGTCAATTGGTTCCAATTAATGTTTGTACTACTGAATATATAGAAAATAGTTCAAGGAACAGTCGTATCCCTATGTGTCACTGACAAGCTGACATGTGGACAGTTATGTTGCAATCATATACCCGTACTCACCTTGCTCCATACCTGTCCACCCAACACACGAGTCTTCATAACCAATGGTGATATGTTAAGTATCCGACGACGAGTTTTGACTGACCTAAAGCAGACTGAGAAAGGCGAAAACACTGATGTTGAGTGGCAAAGTTAGGTACCCTTCAGCCACACCAGATCCTTGATACATCCGATGGGATGAAAGCAGGATAACAGCCAATGCCATCTTCATAAATCCGACGTGGAACCAAGATGTTCAGTCGTCGTACGCCATGGTTTAATGTAGTTGCCCAAACCTTTCGTCCCTTCAGGTCTGAACCAATCCGGCTACCGTAGCGGCCACTGGGTGCAAAACCCAACCGGCACAGCCTCAGCCATCACTAGGGTGTACTCAAAAAGGGCCTTTACAAGCTATAGAAAAACCATGGCAGCAACAAAGTTCTGCGGCTCCTGTATGAAGATTTTCTGATCCTGTGCCTCGGCTTTAGTAGTTTGTAACATGTAACGTGGGAAGAATCTTCAGCTTCTGTTTGGACAGAATGACCTGAGTCACTGGTAGAATGTCTCTTAGTGGTTCAATGCAGCTCAGAGACTGGTAGATCAAATGCCTTGCTGAAGTTCAGTATGACTAAGTCAGTCTGTCTTCCCTCATTAGTTGACTCTGCTAGTTCATGTGACGCTTTGGGCAGCCGAGTCTCTCAACTTTGTTGTGGTTCAAACCTATGCTGCTCATCGATTAGTGTGTAGTATCTTTCCTTGCGATTATATATATACTTGTATAGTCTTCTCCTATATCGTGTTCTTCTATCTAGATCACGAACTCAAGATCTGGTTCAGGGATGCCTGAGGTGCCCGAGTTGCTGGTGAATCATCGGACTGCATGCAAACTTTGAAGTGACGTTGGTGTTGCTACTCAGTACTGGTACACTGTGGCTCATCATTACGTTGGGCCTCATCAGTGCAGATGATTCGCAGATTCTACCTGTTGGTTTTTTTTCATTGTCTCCTTCTCCTTCTTCTTCTTCGTCATCGTCGTCGTCATCTTCTTCTTCGCCTTCTTTTTCTTTCTCCTCCTTCTTCCTCGAGATGATTTTAAACCCCTGCAAAAGTTGGTATGAACGTTATACCCTATGGTGTGATTGACGAAGAAGGGGAGGAGAGGGAGGAGGAAGAAGAAGACGGCGAAGAAAAAGCAGGAAAAGACGAAAGTGAGAAGGAATGAGAAGATGAAGAAAACGAAGACATTAAAGAAGAAAGGGAGGAGGAGGAGGAGGATCAAAAGGAGGATCAAAATTGTACTTTGGCCAATCACTGTACCGCTGTCGACAGGCAAGATCACCCGACTGAATCGTTGCAACGAACACTTCAGAGCGATATAACTAGCTCATCAGCTCTACAGAAACTGGCTTCTTTCTTGGACACGTGACGTACATCCTTTGTTCGCCTTGTTCGCCAGTCAGTACTTCATTTTCTCTCGGAGCGTCTCATGGAATGTGCAAGGTTTCTTTCATTCTCCGTTATCGCCTACAAGCGCCACGATTACAGGTAACATATAGAGTAATGATAAACGCATTGCGTATGTGATGCTATAAATAATACTGTTATTAAATACAGCTATAAATGTGCTTTATATAAAAGTAATTAAGTTCTTTGAAAGACAGGCGAATGGACCGTCTGTGTGCGCTTCAGTACAGTGTTCATTTAAATCACTCCCTAAACAACAAGCATGCGAGGTCTGCGTATCTCCCACGCTATTTCTTTCAGTTAATTTTAAAATAAATTACGTTATAATGTACGGGGAATCCATCTAACCACCCACTCACCAACCCGCCTGATTTTGATTTTTTCAAGGACATTTGACGTTTTATGTAAGAAGACGAAGAAGGGGAGGAGGACGAGGAAAAAGGAGAAGAAAACTAAAACGAATAAGAAAATGGAGGAGAATGATGAGGAGGAGGAAAACTGTCAGCAAGTGAGATCAGCTGACTGAATCGTTGTAACGAACACTTAAGAGCGATATAACAGCTCACCAGCTCTACAGATCAGCCGATCGGGTGGAAGAACTTGGAAGACTATAGCTATTACAACTGTAGCCCCACTATGTAAAAGATGGTAGTAAATATCCAGAGTGAATTCCGACAGTGATATGTTACGTTATGTTATGTTCCAATACTTATCTCGAGTCGAGCTGCTCTACTTGGGATATAATGACAAGGTATTGTGTAAACTCCTTTGTGGCAGTCATCGCAACAGATTATCTCTACAGATCTCGACACAATTAACGTGATAACATGCGTGATAACGTGTTCAAATTTTCTTCCCGTTTATTATTACGGTCCGTGGTAGTCTGTCTGTGGGTGACGTGGAAAAAAACTAAACATAGCGCAGTATCACGCAAATAGTTTATTACATCATAAGTGATTCGTACGTGGAATTATTGTTGTTATTTTTATTTACTATATGCACCTGTTGTTTGAAGATGGAGAATATTTCCTAAAAGCTTAGTATTCGTTTCGATCCCTGACAAGTATTGGAACATAACGTAACACAGCTTAATGTAGCATGAAAAATGATTCATAGTGAACTGATACCTGAATTAATCTATAACGCCATGTTTATAGTCGTCAAGCATTATTATTATCATTATTTATTATTATTATTATATGTAACGCGCTCTGTTTCGAGTGGTGTGTAAGAGAAAGAGAGAGGGGTAGAGAGAGAGCGAGAGAGAGAAAGAGAACGAGGAGGCGCGAGGGAGAAAATGTGGGGGTGAGAGAGATCGAGAGCGAGAAAGGGAGAACAGGAGAGGGGGGGAGGTGATAGCGAGGGAGAGGGAGAAAGATTGACAGTGAGTAAGAGAAAGAGAGAGAGACAGTTAGAGAACGAAAGGAAGTCGAGAGCGAGCGATGGATAGATAAAGAGAAAGAGAGAGAGAGAGGAGGGGAGAAAGATAATGCGCACGACAGAGAAGGCGAGAGCGATGGTGAGAGTGAGAGTTAGGGAAAGCGAGAGGAAGGTGAGAGCGAACGAAAGATAGAAAGGGAGAGAAAGAAAGAGTACGCGCACGAAAAATAGGATAAGAGCGAGAGCGAGAGAGGGAGAGAGGTGAAGCGAGAGGCAGAGACACAGCGCGGGCGAGAGTGAGAGCGTGCGGTAGAGAGAGAGAGAGAGAGAGAGAGAGAGAGAGAGAGAGAGAGAGAGAGAGAGTGAAAGTGAGAGAAAGAGATAGGAGGGTGAGAGCGAGCGATGGATAGATGAAAGAGTGACAGCGAGCGAGAGAAGGGGTTAGAGAACGCGCGCGAAAGAGAGATCGTGAGAGTGAGTTAGAGAGAGTGAGAGGAAGGCGAGAGCGAGCGATGGATAGATAAAGAGAACGAGAGGGAGCGAGAAGGGGAGCGAGAATGCGCGCGAAAGAGAATGCGAGAGAGAGATGATGAGAGTGAGAGTTCAAGAAAGCGAGAGGAAGGCGAGAGCGAGCGAAAGATAGATAAAGAGACCAGAAAAATTTAGAATATAATTGGCTATGCAAGCCTAGATTGGCCAGTGATGATGGGGGGTAATCTGAATCTGCTAGAGATTCATTGATGATCTGGAATTAATTGCGAAAAATTAATAGTGTAAAAGAGGCGGGACCGAGGAGATAGATACCAGGTGGTGGGGGGTGTGGTATTTTCAATCAGGAAATGATTTAGCATATAATATAAGAATGATATGTGGATAAAGTGGGCTAGAAGCTATATGGGTTTGATAATCCTTAACTACAAGATCGGAAACCCGCAATATTGGACCGCCGGCCGGTATGCCTATCGGACCACCAAACAAGGCAACCTTCTGCGGGGAACTATTGGAAGAGATATTAGATAGATGCTGACAGGTAATGAAGAGGGCAGGAAATTATTATAGGTTAAGGTCGGATTTCAAATTGTTAAACCAGTTATGAGAAAAATCAAGGGAACAATGTGATAGAATGCCCTATAAGGGCCTGCTTAAGATTATACTGGCTACGCAATATGATCTCCAAAGCTAAATGCACTAACTCTGACCGCAGAGTAAACCTAATAAATGAGTCCGCCATCGGGGATTTAATAATGGTTTCTGATGCACCTCAAATTAGTCATTCGGCGCATCACAGCCAAGGGAGTGAGGGATCATTTTTGGTTTTTAAACTTACATGGTACTAGGATAACTTCTAGACAGGTTATAGGTATGCATGAAAACTGAGGAGAATTAGATCATTAAAAACATATAAGGTCCAGAAAGGTATTTAGAGAAATAAGGTTAAAAAAGTAAGCAATGGGTGTAACCATTTTAAATGCCGGGATTGCCCTATAGAGCTTTGCCATGCGAAATTTTCAAAAAATACTTGCTAGAGGAGGCCCCAATTGGGACACCTGTCGGCCCCTCATTAAACCAGAAGTTAAGAATTAAAACAAAGGACTGAGGACGCCCATGGTTTTATAGCCGAGATTAGGAGCCTTATTCTGAGAAACGAGTATAGAAAATTAACTGGCTTTATACGAAGGAGTAAAGATGAAAATACATACAAGGGGATGTTTAAATGGCTTAGAAACAAAGTTCAAAATAAAATTACGGAAAGGGCAACGGCCTATATACATATATCGGAAAAGTTGAGGGAACCACAAAAATGACGCTAAAAAAATATGGCTAGACTTAAAAAGAGTATGGGGAATAAAAAATAAGGGACCAGTAACTTTGGGGGGTTGGGGGGCTAAAATTGGAAGAAAATATAATGTTTTGAACAAAGGGCAATTTGCTGCAAAATAATTTTAATAAGTAATTTTCCAGCCAAAAGTGTGGGCCTCAACTTGGCTGACGAGATCTACCCACAAAAAAGGAAGGGAACGGTATGATGCAGATTAGTCTTCAAAATTATTATAGGGACAAAGGCCGTATAGAAAATTCATTTACTTTACAACGGTGGGAGAGGGAAGAGGCTACTAACGCGGTGCTGAAAAACATTAATACGGTAAGAGCTATTTGTTACGATAATCATTCCCGCAAAATTTATAAAAGATGGGATCAAACCCCCGTTTTTGCTCCAGCTCTTACCCACCATGTAATCTTTCTCAAAAGCATGTCATTCCCTCCCAAGGAAAAATTCCGCTGGATGACATGAAAGGCAGCCAAAGGGTCATTCCGATACCCCATAAAAAAGAAAATAGCCAAAAGAACCCTGGAAACTATAGGGCCTGGTGTCAATTTTAAGGTCCGGTCATGTCGCCCACAAGTTTTGAGGCAGTGAATAGGCCATATAACGCAATAGGAAGAAATAATATTAATAGAAAATATCCTTACTTTAAACGAGTTTCGCAATCTGGCTTTAGTACAAAAAATTTTTCAACCGACCACAAGTTTAATCCATCTAAACTGATATTATTCGTAATGAGTCCGCGGACAAAGCCGAAAATCTAACTGGTATGGTTTTATTAGGATCTTCAAAAAAGGCTTTTGAGGGATACGCGTTGACGCAATCAAAAATTCTAACTAAAGCCAAGCTAAAAACTGATCGGAATGGATATTAGGATGTTAAATGGTTCGGTGGGCTTATATCTCTTGTAGAATCGGCCAATATAACTGACTGCAGGAACGTACCTTCTCTAATAAGGACGCTATTGTATGTGCAGTAAGCCACAAGCGCGTCTGATTTGGTCCGTCTGTTATTTCTGAATTTACTAATTAAAATGACATGGCAAAGGTCAGTTAACGTCCAAGCTTTTTTGATATGCTGAACGATTCGGGCCGCTTAGTAGTTTACAGGGGACAGGAGGTAGCAGGCCTATAACAGGAAGATTAAGTAGAGAATTCGCCATTCCAATTAATAAATGGATCACGCGATAAAAATAAAATTTTATGCGCTTGCATCTTGGAAAAACTCGAAAGTATTATTTTTGGGGGGAAGCTAAACCGACACCGCGAACTCAGGGAATAATCCAAACTGGACATCAGAGTGTAAAATTGGTGCAATTGCACATAAAAAAAAAAAATACAGTTTTAAGTATCTAGGAATAGACTTGAAGACACCATGAGTGGTGAGATAACGGGAATTAAGGTGTGTTAAAAAAAGATTAACAAATACGATTGATAA